TTTTACTGTATTATTTACTGCTCAATTCTCAGGGCCTAGGACAATGCCTGGTACACAGTAGTTGTTCAATAAATATTTGTTTAAAAAATGAATAAATCTTAAATTTGTTCAAATCTTAAAATTTACTCTATAATCTCTAAATATTTATTTTTAATGTAAAAATGATTTCAAATGCTTGAGTGAAAATTGATGTCTCATGTCTTCCACAGAGCTGGGGCATCAGATGCCTGCACACACCACAGCTCCAGGCTCCACCACAGAGTGAAGCTTCACTTATGATCAGACAGCCGAGATGAGAGGATGGGACTGTGAAGGTCAGGGCCTCTTTGCAAAGGGAAAATCAGTTTATGAAGGCTTAAGTCTCTGTCTCAGCCACATCAGATTTTCTGGGAGGTGGAAGTACAGGAAAGTTATAACCAAGTGACAAGACAATGTACAAATTTGTCTGTCCAGTTTTGGTACACAGCGGGTGCCCAATAAGGTTAGAAAATTTTCTATTTGCATCTGAACTTCAGTGAAATCTTTATGAACAAGACATTTAGAGAACAGTCCTTGCCAGATTCCTTGACCTCAGGAACAGGATCTTTAGTCTCTTTGCTTTTCCAATACTTGGCATAGTATATGCCTTGAAGGTCCTGGATGAATACTTGATGAATGAAAAATAAAGTATTGTTTCCATTGATTTTTCTAGATATTATATTATATTTCAGGCCTTGTGGCTGAAAATCATTCTAAAATGTATTCAGCAACATTTCTGCATTAGCAGGAAAAGAATTTCCTCACATCTTCCTATGGGAATACAGAGTCTTGCAAATGATCAAGAGCAAGTACCCCCTTCTCTCTGACTCATGTCATTGTGGGAGGCTGTGGGGAGGGATGCAAAAAGGGTATGAGATTGAATTTTTTCAACCCTAAGAAATCATGGGGCATTGAAAGAATTCCCTGATATGTTTTCCCTTGAATCTCAGGGTTAGGGTTTACAAAGAACTAAGATCATCAAGCCCCAATAGCCTAAAGTGACAAATGGAGAAACCAAGGCTGAAAATGAGGGAGGAGCTTCCTGAGGGCACTCAGTATGTGAAGAGCATCGTCAGAACTGGAACCCTGGTCTCTTGACCTCCAGTTCAACACTGTTTCCAGATTTGTCTATCTCTTAAGAGTAGAAAGCAGAAAATTTTTTTTGATTAATTCATGTTTAAATTCTATATCAGGGGAAAGATGTCAATTTGTCTATAAAGATGTTTACTGAGGTCTTACTTTATACTTAGTATTGACTTAGCTACTGCAAGGTATAAAGCAAACACAGAATGGTACACAGTGATATTAACATAAGACTGTCCAAACCTATAGAAAATTTTTATAAAATTTTATTGGCGTTTAATTGACCCAAAACAGAGGATACACCTGGAAACAAGATCTCAAAAGACTGAGAAAAATGTTATTCGGAATGGCGATTTGCAGCCTATTTTAAGCATTTTGAATTAAGGAAGGAAAGTAAGGAAGATTACATGAAGGTAGGAGAGAACGAGGATTGGATTACAGGATAGGTAACAAGATTATGTGTTCTCCTGAGGGTGGTTCGCTTCTGAAGAGGCATTTCAAAGGTGTCGAGATGCACGGAAACAATGGACAGGACTTGTTTAAGGCAAAGATAAACCTTTACCAAAGAAGTTATAGGCCCAGGGCATGACCACCCACTGTGACCTGCCCAGTTAGAAGTTTATGATCAGATCACCCTATGGGGTTACTTTCTGTAGAACCCCTTTTTTGTGCACAGTGATGATGATCATCATCATTGTAATAGTAAGCTTCAGTTTTTGAGTACCTGTTATGTACAAGCATTGGGTGCTTTACATGTATTACCACAAATAATTCTCACAAGTGCCTTATAAAATAGATGTTAATGTTAGGCCTTTTTGGATTGCTCATGACAGGAACCTAACTCAAATAAGCTTAAAAAAAAAAAAAAGGTAGGGGAGAATTATTTACATACATAAATGAAAATACCAGTCGTCTAGATTCTGCTTAGGCTGGATCCATGTGCTCAAACAATGTTGTCAAATAATGATGTCAGAATCTTCCATCTCCTCTATGTCAGCTTTACTTTCCAGTATTTCTTTCCCTGTGATTTAAAAGATGACCTCCCAGTAGCCCTGGTTCCCAGGAGCCTTACAGCATATAATTCCAGAAGGAGAGAGTCCTGTTCTGACTCAATATCCACATCAGCCTGCCCCAAGACCTTGACTCATCCTCTTTGGGTCATATGTCTGCACCAATCATTACGTTTAGGAAAGTAGGGTACTTGGCAGCTCCATATCTCCACAGGGTGAGAGAAGAGAGCTTCTTCTATCAGTGAAATGGAGAAGGGGCAATTCTTAATCCCGTCCTAGACACAGAGAAATCAAGTAATTGCCCAAGGCCACGGAGCCTGGTAGAGGCAGAGCTGGGACATAAACTCAAAATATTTGCCTCCAAAATCTACGCTTTTTAATTTTTCTTGTTTTTTTTGGTGGAGGGGATGGGAAGATAATTCACATACCTTAAAATTTACCATTTTAAAAGTGTATAATTCACCATTTTAAAAGTGAGAAGCCTATTTTAATCATCAGTCTAGATGTTTTCAGATTTAGTGTCATCAATGCTCAGTTGCAAAGCGTATGGTTAGCAATTTGTTGCTGTTAGTGGTTGAATTACCAAAATTATTAAACAATTTAAAAGATAGAAATCAGAATCACTTGAAGATTACCCCTCTAATAATGTCATCCTCATTTTCTTGTACTCCGATGTCCTCTTTTAGGTATAGCC